GCGAACAGGCTGATTGGGTCAAACACTAGGACTACCCTTACTTTCTATCCATAAAACATGTTTCCCAAAAACTTTCCACTAGAGTGTCCCATGCTTTAGGCCCGTTTGATAGGGATCTAGATTCTCCTAAAAACGTTTTAGATACAGATTCCCTCCAGAAATGTTTCTATGTTAAAATAGGAATCACTCGGTAAGAATCGGTGAAACGTTTGGCTATTGATCCATATTCTCCTTAAAATGAACTAGAATCACTGTGAAACATTTATTTGGGTGATTCTCATTCCTAGTACAAAAATGAGAAACGCTTCTCTGAGAATCTGAAACGTTTATGTCACCTATTTGAGTGTTTGGCAATGATTCTGGTGATTCATTTGAGAATCCGAAACGTTTCTATCATCCCAACGGGGCCTTAATCCTTCATATAAGCATAGTAAAGTTAGTTTTCAATTTGTAAAGAGAAATGGACTAAACTGTAAAAGTGACTACAAGTCGCAGCAGCTTTTCTAAACCAAATGGTCTTCTACTTTTCCCACGGCTATTTTCCCACAGCTGCTTTCCACAGCCCACAGTTCACAGCAGTTTTTTCAAAAACCACGGCTCAACCCAACATGGCCTAAGTCACACTGTCGATCCTTATTAGACGTAGGCAAAAGTCAGGCCGAGTTGGGTTTGGTGCCCACCAGTGGACAGGTTTGCACCTTACATCTTGGGCCGTGCAAGCCTGGGCCATTTGCCCGCAGAGTTTTTAGTTTAAAAGCAAATGAAAATAATGCTTTGAACCGGTTTGAGCCAAGAAAATTTTTCTAGACAACGAAACGTTACCCTAAACCCTATCCAATAAAACCAGTGGGCCAAGCCAAGCCCGGCAAACTCAAGCCAGATCAGGCCAGTTATGTTCAGGTCTATTCCTTGTGGGAAGTGTCTACCCATCATTCGGCTGATTCCTGTTTGTGTTTCGGTTAATTTTTTTCAACCAGTAAAAACAGGACATGTCACATGGGAGCCAATAAAGTACGAACAACAAAGGAACACCAAAAATTTTGATTGATTTTTCCGATCAGCGAATGACAAATTTTCTCTAAAAAATGGCGTTAGGGAAAAAGAGTGGGAAGACATCTGAAACCAAAACCCGTCATCATAGTGGGTCCAGATCTAAAACCCAATAACAGAGCATTCTTGAAGGACAAGAAAGAAAAACACCTGGAAGGCTGGAACAAAGGACGGAGCAAAAGAAACAATAAGATCCAAGATATCTACAGCTATGAGATCGGGAAAACAGAAGGCAAAAGATGTGTACGAAAGGAAAAGTAAAACCAACTCAAAGAAGAAAAACTGATGAAGATGCAGAACACCCCAAAATCAAGTATTACTTTACTCTAATTCATCACTGTCTACTACCCCCAATCTTTGGACTTGCAAATTTGCATATCATTTAATCAACCATGCTTACAAACTTGAATAAGAAACGAATCAGATTCAAGATTCACCAGATTTCGGGATCAATTACAAACTCAGGTCTAATGAATCAAGTGTGCCACCAACAATCTGCAAGTAATATTTTGGCTACCAATCACTAACAGCCGTAGGGTCCTGTGCTAATCTTACATGTTTCGGACGGTTATAGATTTGATTTCTTCCACTCTATAAGTATTGGATCATTTATGCCAGCAATAATCTCTGCGTCGTTCTGCCAGACATCCAAGGAGAGTAAAATGATGACATGTTAAGCCACGACATGCTGGATCTTTCATACACCATATCATGTTCAGTCCATCAAGTTTGTAGCTTTATTGGTGGCATTTTTCTTCTCTTTAACCTCGCTTTAACCTGGTCACTTGTGGCAATATTAACACCAACCGAAGCTTTTATACCTCTGAACATGAACTGTAGCAGATATCAATGATCTCTCTGTACTGAAGCTCCTGGAAATACAGTGTCAACTGAAGCTTTTATCAATGGTTTTAACAATGATCTGATCTGTCTGTCGACTGAAGCTTTTAACATGGTCCCGATTAACCTGCACTGTTATAATGTTTTCGAGTATGATATATGTCGAAGAACAAAACTGGTCAGAAAAGGACGTGCACATAGCAGTAGATTTGTGTGCTGCTATCCTGCTTTACCTGCACAAACTGAAAACCGAAGTGAGCTGCAGCCCCTTCTGCTTCTAGAAATCGATAAAAAGAACATGCACCTGGGCTGTATCTACTATCAGGTTGCTGCCGCACTGAACATTTGAGGAAAAATGCCAACATACTGAACTTAATGCACATGAACAATAAATTGAGCTCATTGACACAATGGCATAATAACAAACAAAATAAACATATGAAGCATGCGGAAACAAAATCGCCAAACAATATCAAGCAATTCGCTGGTCTGAAACTTGGCTGAAACTGGCTGAAAAACACTGTTCTGGCTGAAATGTTGTGAGAGAAAAACACTATTCCGACTGAAAAAAGAAGTCGAACAAGCCAAACTTCATACCAGCCGAACGAGGATTTAGTGCGGCCTTAGCTAATTAAATCTGAGCAAACAGATTCGCCTAAAGATTTCGGCTATAATGTCGAGCATCCAGGTCGTCTGACCACTAGTTACATAAGTCAACTAAAAATGAAACTAGGGTACTGGGAAATTTACTCCAAAAGGAGCCTCAAATTTACTTCAAATTTAGTTCAATGGCTAGCTGAACTGATCTAGCTATCCACACATGCAGACTTCAAAACTCATTGCAAGAGAAATTAAAGAAAAAATAATTGGTACCTACAGCTCAAAAAGAGACAAGGCAACTTTGATTAAACACAAGACTTGCCAAACTTGAATAAAAAACATAGACCACAACTGCAAAAACCGAAAGGCTCAGGTACTAAAACAATGAAATGTTGATCTGCAACTGAGCTACAGCTACCCATCTGCCAACGGGCCAAGCACCCAACGAAGACAAGCAATGATTGTTTTAATGTAGTATGAAAAAAAATGACATGGTCATAAATTGAATACATATTCAGCCTGTTCGCTGGTTGGTTTCTGGGCTGATAAACCCGACTGATGCTGATTTGTTGTGAGAAAAAAATACTATACCATAATTGATAAGCCCTGACTGAAACCAACAAACGAACATGCTGATTGACTTGCTAAAAAAGACAATGCAAACCTATAAGCAGGACTGAGGTATCGTCTCTAGAGCCCCAAGAATGTAACAAATAAAAATAGAAAACAGAATGCCACTCCAGAGCCCCAAGAATGCAACGAACGACAACAAAAAAAAATTATGACACTCTAGAGGCTCTAGGAATTTAGAATAAGGGTTTAAGGAGAAACAACCAAAAAAATAAAGCCTCCTCTAGAGCCTAGGAATAAGAATGAGCGGAGCGCGTGCTCGGGGCCCCAAATAACGCTCATTACCTACAGTGCCATGGATGGTCCGGTCCAATGATCTTAGCGCCTCTCACGCACGAAGCTAAGCGAACAGGGTGTGCCATGGATGGTACGGTCCAGTGATCTCTACAGTTCCATGGATGATGATCCGGTGATCACTGTAATCTAAAGACGCGGTCATCGGATCTAGGCTGTAATCTAAAGCGAACAGGTTATGTTTGTGATTGAATAGTTCATTCGTAAGCTAGTGGCACGTCCATTCAACGACGACGACAAAGGCTTTTAAGTCCCAAATAAATTCGGGTATACTAAATTGAAACCCAGCAGAAACAATAATGTTCAGACATATGAATAGTTGTTTTCCAAGCACTCCTATCTAAGGCTAAGTCTTTGGGTATATTCCATCCTTTCAAATCTCCTTTTATTGCCTCTACCCAAATCAACTTCGGTCTTTCTCTACCTCTCTTCACGTTACTATCCTGCCTTAGAATTTCACTATGCACTGGTGTCTCTGGAGGTCTCCGTTGGACATGTCCAAACCATCTCAACCGTTGTTGGACAAGCTTTTCTTCAACTGGTGCTACCCCTAATCCATCACGTATATCACCGTTCCGAACTCAATCCCTTCTTCTTGTATGACCGCAAATCCAACGCAACATACGCATTTCCACGACACTTATCTGTTGAACATGTCGTCTTTTCGTAGACCAACATTCTGCACCATACAACATAGCAGATCTAATCGCCATCCTATAAAACTTGCTTTTTAACTTCTGTGGTGCCCTTTTGTCACATAAGACATCAGATGCTTGGCGCCACTTCATCCACCCTGCTTTGATTCTATAGCTAACATCTTCATCAATATCCTCATCTCTCTATAGTATTAATCATAAATATCAAAAGATATCCTTCTTAGACACTACTTGACCTTCCAAACTAATATCTTCCTCTTTCCGGATAGCAGCGCCGAAGTCATATCTCATATACTCAATTTTAGTTTTACTGAGTCCAAAAACCTTTAGACTCCAAAGTCTCCCGCCATAACTCCAGTTTCTAATTCACTCTTATCCGGCTTTCATCAACTAGCACTACATCGTCCGCGAAAAACATACACAAAGGATGTCCCTTGTGACCTCATCCATCACTAGAAAAAAATGGAAAGGAGAAAAAAAAAACTTTGAAAGCTTCAGCATCAGGTTATACAGCAAGATAATACAGTAACCACCACGACGGATGTCTTACTGCCCTATTCAGGCTAATGGACGGCAATCACGGATTGCGGACCTGACTAAGCCACAGGCTATATGTGAATTGCGCACCTCATATCAATCTACAAAGCAGGATGTTATACAACAGAGTAGGAACTATGACCACAGTAGAAGATTGAGCTCTCAGAAACAAACAAATAAAAACCACGGAGAATAAGCCAGAACGCTATCATGGAACCCACTGCCGTTCAAGTGAGATTTATAACTTAACACAAATATTCAAATGATAATCATTCTTAGCAAAGGTTCAGACTTTCAACAGAAGTACCACTAATATAGCAACTTCACACACCCATGAGTGAAAACTCAGAAACTGAATAGCCCAGAAGACTCCACACGATCGAAAGGCTAAACCTATGGGCGAGCAGCAACTGGTGCTGGAGCTGGAGCAGCACCAGCAGCACCAGGACCAGGGCGGGGGCCTCCTTGTCCACCAGCCGGCCTATCCTCCTGAACAAAACACAATGCAACATAAACATATTAGCCACCACGAAAATCGCATTGAAGAGGCAGAACGGAAAAACATAAGGATACAAAGAACACACAGCAGACACTCCTTGAGAAGCATATATAGCAGTCCAAGTGGCAAGTAACAGGACAAATTATGGTCTACGCATTCAGCAAAGTATGCACAAAAGAACAGCATTTGGCAAGGTAGTATATGAATAAAATAACTGTTAACATTTCCCATTCTTAAATGATCAGCTAATAATATGTGGGTAATAGCTGACAAAGTGAGCAAAATGGTAGTAACTATTGGGACCTGTTCATCCCACAGGCACTGTTATTGCCATCGGGGCAACGTATTAGTCCCAAACACATTATTTCAAACAAGCTGTGCTCAAGCAGGCAAGCAGAACAAATATAACATAGCAAGAAAATTGTACTATAAACATTTCCCATTCTTAATGATCAGCTAAAAATTATGGCCATCAGCCGATAAAGTGAAAAATGGAGTAAATGTTGGGACCTGTTCATCCCACAGGCACAGCACAAAAGCCATAGGGGCAACGTAGAAGTCCCAGATATGTGACATGTCAGGTCAGGCAGGAAGCAAAAGTTGTTAACTAGCAATTGTGTTCCATATTAAGTATAACAAAAAAACTGTGTCAAGTGATTGACAAGCGGAGATGGAAACATGGAACACAGCCATGTATGGAAATTTCCCATCCTTAATGATCAGCTGAAAACAAAATATCAGCTGAGAAAGTGAATAAATGGTTGTACATGTCAGGAACCTGTTCATCCCGCAGGCACTATTGACTTGCCATCGGGGCAGACATAAAGTCACAAACATATGTTCTACCCTATACATGAAACTCCTAGCTCTTTAATACAGAATTGGGGATGGTGATCCGACCGCTATCATTGCAAAAATTACTTAAATAGGCACAAAACCAAACATGCCAACTAAGGATAGCAGATTCTATTCACATATATCCTATTTAAAATGATGAGATATTGCAAAATCTGTTAACTCAGCACAAAACCAATCATGTCAACTAAGGATAGCAGATTCTATTCACATACATCCTATTTAAAATGATCAGATAAGAACATACAGTAAACAGCTGAAAGGCAAAATAATGAAATATAACTAAAGGCAGTTGACCATTCAAGACAGGGCTATCAGGACATCACGAGATCGGTGTATCTTACAGGTACTAAATCAGAACAGTATATGCTATCAGGACACAATCAGGAGTATGTCTGTCAGAGGAACTAGAAACAATTAGAAGGCCCGTCATAGAGGAGATAAACTAATCAGCAAAAAGATTCATTAGACAAACGCTAATCAGAACTAAGTCACAATCATGCATTGACAGATCTGTACTAAAAACTTTTTCCACAGGATATTCATTATAAACGCTAAATCAGTCAGCGAGAATAATCTAATCATACCCTGCGCCTGAAGCGCTCCGGCGGCTTGCGGTCCCTGCGCTTCTCACGGGATCGGACGCGGACGATGTGAGCGTGGATCGCGCACGAGACACAGTGGTGCACCTTGGCGTAGAGCTTGGGGAGGACGTACCCTGAACCACAAAACATGTGTACCCTCGTCAAAATAACAAGTCGCATAAAAGATTTACTGAAGCAACAGATCTGGATGAGAGATTTACCATCATGGACGCACGCTTCCTGGACGTCCCTGATGGCCGCCTGTTCCACGATGTTCCTCACCTGAAACCTCTTGATCGCCTTGTCCTGTGACGGACATCAAAAAGGAAAGTGGAAACCACGAACGAAACGAATCAGAAAATTTCATCACACGGGTGAAGGAAGAGAAAAGGCAAGGCAACTGTGGAGGCCTCTACTCACCTTGGGGCAGCACTTGGCGCAGTTAGAGCAGCGGATGTACTTGACGTGACCGCGGCCATGCTTGTTGCGGCCGCCGTTGCGGCGCTTGAAGGTCTGCGGAGAGAGAACAGGGAGTGAAGTGGATTAGATTCGAGATGTACATGCAAAGGGAGAGGAAGATCGAGATTGAGGCGTGGGACTCACCATGGCGGCGGCGCAAGAGGTCGAGTTCTGAATCCCCACTAGGGTTTCGCGGGGTGAGGGATGAATAATTTATAGGCAGCTGGTCGGGTGGTGGAATGGTACTGGGCCGTTTATGGGCCCGGTCATAATCGAAAGGAAATATGCATAACGCATCGCGTGGACCTGGTGAATGAAAGAAGAAAAAATATGTTGGCCCGGCCAAATTGTTCGTAATGTATCAAGTCTCGAAGACGTTCCTAAAAAAACAAATCTTCGAAGACAACCCAAAATATCCAGAAAAAATATAAAATAACTGGAATTTCTAAATTTGTTTCATTAGAAGATTTTGTGTTGCTTTTCTTTAGCTAGAGTACTTGTTGCTACTATAGCACATTGTTTTTCCATTCTCTTGGCTTTTGCTTACCTTGTCATTGCAAGATTTGCGATTCTCTCGCTAGACTTCGGACAAGCATGGTTTGAGCCCTTTTTTACTGTTCACCATGTTATCACGGTTATTCTGAGAAAGTTATGTTTTCTCTTTACCCTTTAATTGAATCACATATCTTTTTAGGCTTTCACCTCTTCCTTAGCTCTTCATTTTCTTTTCTGATATGACCGTCATAACTCTCTACAGGTACATGCTTAATAAAAAATTGACTTGCTTAAGAGCAAAACTTATTAGCATATGTAATATTTAGGATGTGTTTGGCACCATAGAAACATTCGGATTCAACCTCGATCGCCACTAAACGATCAATACGGTAGTTTTTCTCTTACGGAAACCAAGAGAAACAACTCTGCTTTTTGTACCACGCGGATGAATCGATAGACACGTGATTTTACATGATTTTTTTTTGTTTTCATCTCCCATACTTTCTTCGTGGATTTGCAAAGAATTAAGTGCAACAAATTTAAATAGATTGTATTTAAGTTATTTGTCTTCCAAAAAAACTAATTTTTAACCATATTTTTGTTCATATTTTTTAATAGAAACAACATTTGTGGAACCAGAGTCGGACCTAAAACCCAAACGATCTCACAAAGTGAATATGATTCAATCATATAAATCTTTCCTAAGAGAATCTAGATCTGAAACGTTTCTACGAGAATCCGGATCTCTACCAAACGCACCCTTAATTTAGCTTGCGCTCAAGTGCATGAGTGTGAGTGAAGTTGAAATATTTTACCGATGTAGTTACAACCTCGTGAGCTACCTTAGACAATATTTGAGAATCCACAAAGCTTCTCATGTGAGCGCATGAGCTCAGCATGATCAACCTATAGCATCAAATACTTGCTAATGAGCTCCTCCAACTGAGCCTTGAACTCATTATTGTCCTTCTCCGATCGAGCAACAGTAGAAAGAAAAATTAGCAGCTAGAACATATTCAATTGACAACTTTTCATTCCTAATTCCTTTCAACCAAATCTGCAAGAGATCATTTAAGCACCTGTGCTCATTGGTTGTAGCCTTTAGCTTTCCAATAAGGAGCTCTTCTTGATTTTTCAAGATAATTGTCTTACTCCTCAACTTTCTCCATGAGCTTGATCGTGATCATTTTGTCCAACTTACTAAGGTGTGCAAAGTACTAATCTAGATGATCATCTTAGCTTTCTTCATCTTGGTCCTTCATTTTTTCCTTTTCTTTCGCCGCTACTTGCTTTGCTTTCTTCTTCCTACTCTTCCTAGAGCATCTAAAAGATTAGCCAAAAAGACTAGCCAAATTTACTGATTTAGCTATTCTCTAAAATAGATTTGACAAAAAAAAATACTAGAGTACTCCAACAGACTATGTAAAGCCAAGAGGCTGGATAGCTAGTGAGGTAGACCATCCAAAAACAAAGAGCGAATGAGGTGGGATGGAGAGATACTAAATTTGGAGAGTCATTTATAGAGTCTGTTGGAGACGTTTTTCCTTTAATAATAGCCAAATTAACTTTTAGAAAACAATTTGGCTAATCTATTGGAGATGCTCTTAGCCATAAGGTATGAGTGGGGTGGGCACTACTACTATAAGCTTTTTGTGAATGTTGCTTCTTTAGATTGTTGAAGACCCTTGCTTAGAACTTGGTTTGTCGCTTGACTGGGCGAACCAACCTAGCTGATTTTGAAACCGGCTTAGCCAACTTTTCCAACTCAACAACAATCAAGTCACATTCACTCCGGCTTGTGCATTTGGAGTCTCCTTTAGCCTCCTCACATCATGTTGGTGCATCGGTGTTATTTTGAGGTAGTGACTATCTTGCAGTCCTAGTCCCTGACATTTGATTCTCTAAACTTCTCACAAGGTTTGGTTCAAATGAGATGAGCAGCTTCCATAGGCTCACATCCTCCAAATATGGTTTCATCTACCAACTATGCACACATTGTTCTCAATAGCACATTAGTAGTATAAGAATTGAGTTGCAAGCATTTTTCCTCTTTTTCTTTGTTAAATTATACCTGTTCCAATCAACTAGAGGCGAAATGCTTGAGACTACATCTCTCTCAACAATGGGACTCATGGTCCTAAATGTATTGAGAACATGTATTGACCAAGAAAAGAATTTTGAACCATCAATTCGAAAGTGGCTCAAAAGATACCTCACATGTGACGACAACCGCCACGAGGGTTCTGCCACGGCCCACTGAGCTAGCACCTCGGGTCATCCTCTCAACTGACGTGGTGCTAAACCCTCGATCATGCAGAGTCCTCGGAGTTGCTACTCGGAACCTCCACTCACGCGCGAGTTGTACCCGCAGGATCAAGTTGTAGGATTTCACTCCACGAACCAACCATCAAGATTAACATAGCTCGAGATCATACAACAATTAGTTAAAGAATGTTTATTGCTATTGTAGTGAATGAGATAAAATTACTAGTACAAATTACAAAGACTGATATACAACCAACTATGTCCATTATCCCACCATTCTAATTTCACTCTTGCGCATAATCACTTCATGATTACTTACGGGTTTGTCGGAGCACGGCAATGTAACTCTACCAACTTGCAATTCCGTATGTCGGGCCTGTGAATTACGAATGGTTGAACATATGAAAAATCAATAAACAAGACATATTTTCAGATAAGAAATGAATACTCACATGACTGGATGATGGGCTTTTCAGTAGGTTGTATTGTTTCTCCTCGGTAAGGAACACATAATATTCTAGAAAATTCTCCTGCTACGTACAACCTTTTCTCCAGAGATGATAACGAAGCAGCGAAAATATCAACAACCTAGAATTTTACAAAATAAAAGAGACAAAGGTGCTTGAGATGCCTGGAAGACCAGGCATTTTATTCCATAACGATGATAGTAGCAAGATAGCACATGCAAATTCTGCCATGTTCTCGGAAGTCGGAACTGTGTAAGTTTATATAGGTCGTTTAACATTTACGGTTGGTACTATTTACAAATGATGACAGTGAAACTAAAGCTACTTAAACTCTGAATAAATACTCAAATGCAAAATTATTTAAAACAACTGGTAGGCGTTGGCCACAATGAAACCGTGAAATTCAAATTTAACTCCAACAATAATAGTGCGTTTGTATTTCTGCAAGCAGTGTGTACGAACTAATCCATAAGCCCAAACTTGAAAATGAAGGGTCAATAATGGGTCATAACAGTTGTTCACATCCCTAAGCGCTACTCCTTTCACTCCAAATTACGGCTCACTTTAACTTTGTTCTAAGTCAAATTTCTCTAGCTTTTTACCAAGTTTATTTATTTTTCATGCACCAACATCTACAAAATCAAATTAGTACTGTTAAATTACACATGAAATGTGTCTTGATAGTGCATCTACTTATAGTCGGATATGTTAATATATTTTTTTAAAAGCTATGTCAAAGCTAGAGAAGTTTGACTTAGGACAAATTTGAAGTGAAGTATATTTCGAACACAGAGTATACTCCAAAAGGCAGAATAACAACAATACTGTGAAAGCAGCTTTCAAACATTCACACTGCAGGTCTGCCATGGCTTGCAAGATGCAACTTTGAAAGCTAGATCATGTCACAATATGATGAGATATTCCTAGAGTTACAGTGCATTTCTTACAGAAATAATTTAATATAAGCAATATAACAATATGCATAGTCCAAACACATGCTCCATTAGAAGAGAAAGGAGCAAACCTCATGATAAATTAATTCGCATCCACTAGATGATGCAAATATGAGGTCCTCATAGCTGTAGCCTCTTGGCATCATCGTACCATGTGTGCTTAGCGCTTCTTTCACAAGGGTAGGAAATATTCAGTAGATTAGCGAGAATTTACCTATTTTGGTTATGTTATTTATATCTAACACCACTGTGTTTGACTAAGCACCTTTCTATGGATACTTTATTTAGGACTTGCTATGCAAAAGAACATACACAAACATTTGTACCAGCTTATATGTTATTAGCCAATAAAAGGACTACTTATTTCTTTTGCATTTCGGGACTACTTATTTCCTATGCATTTCAAAAAGGAGTACTTATTTCTTTTGCATTTCTAGCCCGAGCACATGCGGGGGTTCCTCCTAGTTATATTTGATCTTATATTGTCAGAACATGGCAATTTTTTTCTAATACTTTTTGAATAAATAAACCTTTCTTTTTCTAATCTAATAACTTATATACACAGAGAGGGACTAACAACAAGGCCCGTTTAAATGACGTTGGACTAAATTTTAGTTAAGTCAGTTATAAACGGACTCAAAACTCGTGACAGCACGAGTAAACACAGTTTAGACTGTCTCCAACAGGAGACCCAAATCCAAAATAGATCTACAACACAATATCTATAGCCTTCAACAGAGTATCGATATGAAAAATCCATTTTAGCTGTCAGGAGAAGCATAACCCAAATATGAGTATCTTCTCTCTTGGAGAACTATTTACAGAAAAAGGTTATTTTTTAGGTCTTGTTGTCAAAGAAAGCAAAAATAAATATTGAACCCTAGCTCTGTAACAACATTACGAACGAATGAACATTGTATTTTAGGTCGTTGTTGTGGGTGAGTCTTGCAGTTCCGAAGGTCGAGCG